CATGAAAAGTTAATTTCTGTTTTACTATAAATTACTGCAATTTCTAAACTTGCTTGGAATGCCTGCCCATGCCTTGAACTCACCCATGTCTGGCTTTCCCTGACCAGATAACAACACTCTCTGAAACCCTAATGGTGCCTCATAATTCTGATGTTGGGGTCTAAATTTACTTCCAGGGTGCTGAACCATTTAGACCATTAACCTACTACCTGCCTTTCTATTATGCTTGTCAAAATCCTATTATCTGTAAGTTTTCAAGACACTCCCCTTTTTTGCAACTTTTTGTGCTATAAAACTGCACTCCTAGATAGCTGGAGTACTGTTCTCTAACCCAAGGATTTCAGGAGAGACAGTCCTGGCTGGTAGGAATTACAAGCTTGCTTTACTTTCATTTAAAATTGGAGTCGGTGGTCTTTTCTTTGCATCATGGTTTAACACACGTTTGTTTTCAAAATTCTTTAGCAGTGTTTCAAAACTGATAATTACCTTATGCTTTGCCGTTCTTGATCAACGTATCTTATTTGTGAGGCAAGCATTGTTTTATGAACCTTAATTTCTTCAGTTCGCTCGTCCATAGCAGTACATAACTGCTGTTTCCTTTTTTCCAGGGAAAGAACTTCTTCTGCCTTACTGTGAAGCATTTCTCGAGTGCGTTTAACTTCAAGTTTTAGAAGATTGTCCTCTATCATCATATCCTATTAATAGCAAAATTTTCAAATATTGAAATAATTAATTTTTATATCAAAACCAAAATATCTTCCTTTTTATCGCTCTCAAAGTCAATCTTGAGAATATGCCATTTTCTAATTTGACCATTGACTAAAGACATTAACTAGGGTTAAATTTAAATTTCTACATAGTCATGATTCTTTAATAAATAAATAAATAATGCAGGAGGGGCGGGCATGGCTATTCCAAATCATTTTTTTAAAAAATCATTCAATTTTAAATTCTGGCTTTACAGAAAAAAAAAGGAAGAAGTTATTCCCACAATTAAAATTTAAATGTCCAGAAAAAAACATAAAATCCTATGGAAGAACATTTTTATACTCAACTAAATCTCACAATATAATATGAAAATACATTTCTATTTTAAAACAATTTAGTCATAAGTAGAGTCCTGACATAAGAGTGAATAAAT